GATTTCCTTATTTTTATGGCTGCATAGTATTCCATTTATACATACATACATATATATATATAAAATGTAAGTCACATTTTCTTTATGCATTTATCTGTTCATATCTTTGTTATTGTGATAGGGCCGCAGTAAACATTAGGATGCGTATCTCCTTTCGATATACTGATTTTCTTTCCTTTGAATAAATACTTAGCAGTGGAATTGCTGGAGCGCATGGTAGTTCTATTTTTAGTTATTTGAGACATCTCCATGCTGTTACCCATAATGCCTGTATTAATTTGCATGCCCACCAATGGTTTATGAGAATTCTCTGCATCGTCTCAAGTGTCTGTTACATTGCATCTTTTTGATAGTAGCCATCTTTACTGGAGTGAGATGATATCTCACTGTGGTTTTAATTTGCATTTCCCTGAGGATTAGTGATGTTAAGCAATTTTTCATACACTTGTTAGCCATTTGTATATCTTCTTTTTAGAAATGTGTATTTAAAACCTTTCCCTACTTTTTAACAGGATTGTTTGGTTTTTTGCTATTGTTTGAGTTCCTATATACCCTGGATATTAGTCTGTAGAACATTATTTAGAGAAATTAAAGGAGATTTAAATGAAATAAAAGTATCACATGTTCTTAGTTTGAAGACCCAATTGTAAATATTTTGTACTCAAATCACTCTATAGAGTCACCGTGTATGATTTATAGTACTGCTATTTTTGTTAGAATTTGGCAGGCTTATTTAAAAATTCAATTTTAAAATTAAGTTGAATTATTGTATATGAATTCTGACACAATTTTGTTGGTAGCACTTGATAAGCTTATTTTAAAATTTATTTGGAGAGACAAATAACTAACAATAGCCAAGAGGTTCCTAGAATATAACAAAGGAACAGAATTTCAATTGCTAGATTTGAATGCTACAATAATTAAAACAGCTTGGTGCTGGTGTAAGGATAGGCCAATAGAATAGAATAGAGACCCCAGGAACAGATTCACACATATATAATTGCTGGATATATGAGAAGGATGGCTGCATGGCAGTAGAGTCTTTATGATAAATGGTGCTTGGTTCAACTGGATATTCCCATATTCCTATGGTGCTTGGTTCAATTGGATATTCCTATATTTCTATGGGGTAATATATATATATATATATATATATATATATATGTGTGTGTATATATATGTGTGTGTATATATGTGTATATGTATATATATGTATGTGTGTGTGTGTGTGTATATATATATATATATATATATATATATTCTTCCTTACATTATAAACAAAAATTCATTTCAGGTGGATTACAGATCTAAATTTGAATGGTAAAACAATGGAACTTTAAAAAAAATATAATCCACAGGCCAATAATGAGCAACAAATAATGAGTAACAAGATTGGGTCAGTAATAAGTCTCTCAGCAAAGAAAAGACAAGGATATGATGGCTTCACTATTGAATTCTACCAAACCTATAAAGAACTAATACCAATTCTCCTGAAATTATTCCAGAAACTAGAAGAGAAGGGAATTCTACCTAACTCATTCTATAAAGCCAACATTATCCTAATACCAAAACCAGACAAAGACACAACAAAAAAAGAAAACTATAGGTCAATATTCCTGATGAACATAGATGCAACAATCTTCAAAAAAATTCTAGGAAACCAATTCCAACAGCACTTCCCAAAGACAACACACCATAATCAAGTGAGAGTTATCCCAGGGATACAAGGATGATTCAACATATGGAAGTCAATAAATGTGATATATCACATAAACAGAATGAGGGAAAAATAACATGTGATCCTCTTAATAGATGGAGAAAAGGCATTTGACAAAAATTCAACATCGTTTTATGATAAAACTCTCAACAAATTATGTATAGAAGAAACATCCCTCACCAAAATCAATGACATATACAAGTCCATAGCTAACATAATATTGAATGGGGAAAAGTTTAAAGTCTTCCTCTATGAACTGGAATTAGGCAAGGAAGGCCACTTTCACCATGCATATTTAATATAGTACTAGAAGTCCTAGCGAGAGCAATCAGGCCAGAGAAAGGAACAAAAAGCATCTGTGTTGGTAAACAGTAAGTCAAATTGTCCCTCTTTGCAAATGACATGATCTTATACCTAGCAAAACCTAAAGACTCTATCAAAAACTTCTTAGATCTAATAAACAAGTTCAATAATGTGGCAGGACACAAAATCAACATACAAAAATCAGTAGTAGTTCTAGACACCAATAGTAAACTATCTGGAGAAGAAATCAAGAAAGCAATCTTATTTAGAGCTAGAAATAAATTTAACCAAAGAGGTGAAAGACCTTTACAAGAAAACTATAGAACACTGATGGAGGAAACTGAAAAGGATACAAACAAATGGAAAGAGAGTCAATGCTTATGCATTGGAAAAATTCATACAGTTAAAGCGCCCATCCTACCCAAAGCAATCCATACAGTCAATGTGATCTCTATCGAAATATCCATGTCATCTTTTTACAGAAATAGAAAAAATAATCCTGCAATTTGTATGGAACCAAAAATGAGCCTGAATAACCAAAGCAATGCTGACCAAAAAAAGACAAAGCTGGGGGCATCACTGTAGGTTGTTTGTGTGGCTATAAAGGAATACCTGAGACTGGGTAATTTCTAAAGAAAAGAGGTTTATTTTGGCTCACAGTTCTGCAGGATGTATACGAAACATAGTGCTTGGCATTTGCTTCCGGTGAGGGCCTCAGGAAGCTTTCAATGAATCATAGTGAAAGGTGATGGGGAGCCAGTGTGTCACACGGTGAGCGAGGTAGCGAGAGAGAAGGGATGAGGTGTCACCCTTTTTGACAATCAGATCTTGCATGAACTCACAGAATGAGAACTCACCTCAACCTCCAGTATTACCCACACAGTAACAGGATGCCACCGAAATTTTGATTTGGGGCTGTTGCAGCCTAACTTTAACGAAATTTAATAGACATTATTTTTAGGAATAATTATAGGTTTACAGATAAAATTCAGCAGATCATACAGGGAATTTCCCTATTCTCCCTTGTCCCCTAGCACACTATTTCCTCTATCATGAGTATCTGGTATTAGTGTGATATATATTTACAACTGATTAATCAATATTGATACATTATTATTAACTAAACTCTATAGTTTACATTAGGGTTCATTCTTTGAGTTTTATAGTTATATGAGTTTTGACAATTACCTGATGTCCTGAATCCCCAGTACAGTATCACACAGAAGAGTTTCACTGCTGAAAACCTCCTTGTGTTCAGCCAATTCATCCCTCCTCCATGCTTGGCAATCACTGATCATTTCACTATCTCTACTATTTTGACTTTCCTGGAATGTCGAAGTGTTGGAATCATACACTGTGTAGAGTCTTTAGACTAGTTTCTTCCTAGCATTGTGTATTTAAAGTTCCTCCATGTCTTCTCAGGGCCTGATAGCTCATTTCATGTATCACTGAATCACATTCTCTTGTACAGATATGCCACAGTTTGTTTAGCCATTCACTCAGTGAAGGACGTTTTGGTTACTTCCAGTGTTTGACAAGTATGAGTAAAACTGTCGTAAATACTTGGATGCAAGCTTTTGAGTGAACATAGTTTAACATGACTTTGGTAAGTATCTAAAACTGCCATTTGCTGGTTATATGGCAATGCTATGTTTAGTTTTGAAAAAAAAAAAAAAAACCCTGCCAAACTGTTTTCCAAAGTGACGAGCATTTTGCATTTCCACTAGCAGTGACTGAGAGTCCCCATTGCTCTGCCTCTTTGACAGCCTGCGGTATTGTCACTTGTTTGGATTTGAGCCTCCTATTAGGTGTATATTATAGTGTAGTGGCATCTCATTGGTTTAATATGCAATTTCCTAGTGACACATGATTTTGAGCATCTTTTTCATATGCTTGTTTTCCATCCATGTGTCTTTTCTGGTGAAGTATCCAGATCTTTTGCCTATTTTTAAATTGGGTTTTTTGCTTTTTTATTATTGATTTTTAAGAGTCCTTTATATATTTTGGACACCAGTCTTTCATCAGATCTGTATTTTGCCAATATTTTTTCCCAGTCTATAATTTATTTATTCATTGTTTTAACAATGCCTTTCACAGAGCAGAAGTTTTTCTTTTTAATGAAGTTCAAGCTTTCAATTTTTTCTTTCCTGGATTGTGCTTTTGGCATCGTATCTGAGAAGTCATCACCAAACCCAAAGTCGCCCAGATTTTCCCCTATGTGGTCATCCAGGAGTCTTAGAGTTTTGCACCTCACATTCAGGTGTAAGGTCTGTTTTGTGGAAGGTGTAAAATCTGTGCCTAGATTTATTTATTTTTCACATGTGGATGTCTAGTCATTCTAGCATCATTTGTGGAAAAGTCTATCCTTTCCCTGTTAAATTGCCTTTGTGCCTTCCTCAAAGATCAGTTGAGTGTTTGTGTAGGTCTATTCCTGAGCTCTGTATTGTTTCCTAGTGACCTGTTTGTGTTTTCTTTCTTCACCATTTCCACCGTTTGGTTACTGTAGCTTTATAATTAGTACTGAAGTCGGCAGTGTCAGTTCTCTGGGGATTTTTCTGATCTTTACTATGAGAACCTGGTTGGACTCCTGGTGGTAAAACTTATAAAAGCGTGAGATCCCCACTAAATCTGGGCCCCAAGGACTTTTTAAGGCTTAAGCCAGGCCACCCTCAGCTTCTAGTGATCTGTGAGTACCATTTAAGTGCTCCTCCCATTGCTGGCTTTGGCAGCTTCTGTTCCCTGTATCTGCCTGTCTTTCTTGTTTTGAGTGTGGCAATTTGCCCTGTGACCTCTCCTCTTGTCCTCCTAAGAAGGGTTGATAATTTTCAGTTTGTTCAGCTCTTGTCTTGTGAGGACAAGTGGTGACTTCCAAGCTTCTTATAAGTTGGAATAGAAACCAGAAATTTTATTTAAAAAATTACTTGTAACAAAGTCATTAGTTGTAAGTATAGAATTTAATAATGTAAGTAGATATGTAGAATTTTGCAGCCATCACCTCAGTCCCCACTTAGAATACATTTCTTCCCTCCCCAGGTTCCCCAGAGCCTCTTTGCAGTCATTTTCTCCATGACTGGAGCCTAAAGAAAATAAAAATTTGGAAAACAGACAACACTAAATTTAAGCTTTTATTAGATTGGAATTTTCCATAATGGACCATTGTCTTACTCTTGTGGAAACTAGAAGAGATATTTCATTCTAAGGAATTTCTTTTGGGGGAACTTAGCTTATTGCTGTTTATTGCTCTCCTTGAATTGGTTCATTCATGCTGGTGACAGACAGTTGCTATCAAACCTTGTCTGGTGAGCACAAGTAAAAGAGCTAAAAAAATGTAGTTGATATATTTGCAGATAATGTTATGCAGAGCTAAGTTTTTTTTTAGATGGAGTTTCGCTCTTGTTGCCCAGACTGGAGTGCAACAGCGTGATCTTGCCTCGGTGAAACTCTGCCTCCCAGGTTCAAGTAATTCTCCTGCCTCAGCCTCCCAAGTAGCTGGGATTATAGGCATATGCCACTATGCCAAGCTAATTTTGTATTTTTTGTAGAGATGGGGTTTCTCCATGTTGGTCAGGGTAGTCTCAAACTCCTAACCTCCAGTGATACGCCCACCTTGGCCTCCCAAAGTGTTGGGATTACAGGCATGAATCACCATGCCTGGATTTTATTTTATTTTTTAGGGGACACAGTCTCACTCTGTCACCCAGGCTAGAGTGCTGTGGTGTGATCCTAGCTTACTGCAACTTCTACCTCTAGGGTTCAAGCTATTCTTATATTTCAGCCTTTCGAGTTGCTGGGATTACAGGCATGCACCACCATGCCTGGCTAATTTTGTATTTTTAGTAGAGACAGAGTTTCTCTATGTTGGTCAGGCTGTTCTTGAACTCCTGACCTCAGGTGATCTGCCCTCCTCAGCCTCCCAAAGTGCTGGGATTACATGCATGAGCCACCACACCTGGGTGGGAGTTAAGTATTTTACCATCTTTTTTCTTTCAGAGATTGGGTTGGTAACATTGAAGAGATGCTTCTCACCTGCCTGAAATGCCCTACGTTATCTTCAAGTTGCAAGGGCTCTGGAACAGCCCTTGCAGTGCTCCCGTAAAGGGAAGCATCACATTTTACTGTAGTTCTCTGCTTTTTTTGTGTGTGTGTGCCTATAGGGATTAGCATACATGTATGTGAAAATATAAAAAGAGTACAGATAAGCACCTGTAACTAGTTTTCTCTTGCTACCTATTAACACAGTATAACAAGTTAGTGGTTTGAAACCACAGAAATCAGGAATGATTGGGTTCTCTGATCAGGGTCTTAGGAGGCTGAAATCCAGTTATGTGCCTGTGTTTTTCATCTAGAGCTCAGGCTACTCTTCCAAGTTCACTACAGACGTATTGGCAGAATCCATCTTCTTGTGGGTACCAGACTGAGATTCATTTTGCAGTCCTCCTCCTCCTGGCTCTCAGCCTGAAGACACTCTGACTCCAGAGGCCACCTGCATTCTTTCTCGCTTTCCCCATCTTCCAGCCAACAACAGCTCATGGAATTCTTCTCCAGCTCCCATCGTCTCTCTGACTTTGTCTTCTCCTACCCACTAGAGAAATCTGTGACTCTTAGGGAGGGGTGTGATTAGATCCGGCCCACTCAGGAAAGCTCAGGCTTGGTATTAGTCTGTTCTTGTAATGCTATAATGACCTGAGGCTGAGATTTATAAAGAAGAGATTTAATTAGGTCATGGTTCTGTGGGCTGGGAGTGAGTGAGAGTGAGTGAGAGAGAGAGAGAGAGAGAGAGACAGACAGAGACAGAGAGAGAGAAAGGGGAAGTGCTACATAGTTTTAAAGAGCCAGATCTCATGGAAACTCTATCATGTGACAGCTCTTGGGGGATGGTGCTATGCCCTTAGAAACCATCTCCATGATCCAGTAACCTTCTGCCAGGCCCCACCTCTAACACTCAGGATTATAATTCAACTTGAGATTTGGGTGGGGACACAGAGCCAAACCATATCACTCTTTAAAGTCATATGACTGCCATGTAACAAAGTAATCACAGGAATATCTCATCACTTTAACAGGTTCCACAGATAAGGGTACAACATGTTTGGAGACCATTTTAGAAATTCCACCTATCACAGTTCAACTTCAGGTCCCTAGAAATTCACATTCTCACAGATGCCAAATACATTCACCCTCTCACCTGAGGTTTCCAATGTCATTATACATTAGTGCAAAGCGAACAATGTCATGTAGCTTTAATCTGGTCAAAAGTATAAAATCTCATTTAAATCATCTGCACCAAGTGTGAATGAGGCTTCTGAGGGTGTCCGTTAAGTACAGATTCTTTTTATTTGAGAGTGAGTCTTGGTCTGTCACCCATGCTGGAGTGCAGTGGTGCGATCTTGGCTTACTGCGACTTCTGCCTCCTGGGTTCAAGTGATTCCCCTGACTCAGCCTCTTGAGTAGCTGGAAATATAGACATGCACCACTGCATTCAGCTAATTGTTTTGTATTTTTGGTAGAGACGGGGTTTTGCCCTGTTGGCCAGGCTAGTCTGAAACTCCTGACCTCCGGGAATCCATCCCCATAGGTCTCCCAAAGTGCTAGAATTATGAGCATGAGGCACCATGCCCAGCCCAAGTATAGATCCTTGATATAATTCCCTTACCCCAGTTGACCCGTGAAACTGAACAAACAGCTTATCTGTTCTCAGTGTGCAGTGGTGGGACAGTCACAGAATAACACTGCTAGTGATTCTTGTTCAAAAAGAGGGAAAGTGGAGGGAGCAAAGTCACTGATCCAAAACCATTTTGACCTGGGGCTGAGCAAAGTCCAGCCAGAAATTCTTCATTAGGCTCCACAGCCTGGAACTGACCCTCTGTGACAGGGGGTTTTGCCTCCGGGCTCTGCATTTTTTTCTATCATTATTGAAAACATTTTATTTTCCTTCTCCCCCTGCTCTTTTGGTTCTTCCTTGTTCTCCTCGTGGCAGCATCCCCCACTTAATCCTTGTTGCGTCATCCCCCGCAGAATTGGTCAGACATTGCCTGTGTCACGGTCCCGACCATCTTCACGAGAGGATGTCCTTGTGAGCCCATGCTCCTCTTCACTCACCTGACTGCTCTCAGTCATGATTGCTTTCAGCTGCCCTGGCTGGCTTAGGAGAAAACCTAAGACTATGGAGTCCCAGAACCAATCTCTGCCCTCTCTACCTCCAAGAGAGGAAGAAATAACAGTGATCTTCATGGAGAAATGACCCACAGGAGGGCCTGGACTCTCCAGCAGTTACAGCAGCAGAAAGTTTCTGAAGAAGAATGGAGCCCAGGCCGGGAAAGCAGGGTTGTGTGAAACACTATTTAATCCTATGTGCTCCCTGCCCCAATCTAGCAGCCAGCGAATGACAACTGACCAAGTATAAAGGCCAGGACTGTAGAACTGTGATAAAGCTTTGTCCAAGGAAAGGGGCTTTTCCCATTTTTGTTTCCACAGTGGAAATTGCTATTTTTCATCTAAAGTTTTCTGAATGGCAGCAGCGAGCTTCTGGAGGGTGAGTTACCTGCTCTGCACAGGGAGGCTGAGGCCAAGACTTGTTTGGTGGATCTGCTGCCACCAAGTGGTAAGGGAGGGATCCTGGGAGAGTCTCCGTGTTTCTGGGCTTCAGTGTTTCCTCATCAGTAAGGTAGAGGCTTATTGTACCTCTCTGAGGTCCCTTCCTGCTCTGTTTTCTCTGAGTTTCTGAGGAATAGAGATGCTTTTCGATAGTGCCTGGGAGCTTCAGCTGAGACCTGACTCTGTGTGTCTCCTGCAGGAGCCTGAGCTGAGTCTACAGGCTGGAATCCCAGAGCTGTGGGAACAGGTGGAAGAAAGAAAGTCAGCAGGTTTAGGGGATGAGAATAATCCACAAAGGACAAGCCATTGGTAAATAAAAACCAAAGAAGGGGAGAATAAGGACAGAGCAGGACAGAAGCCTGAGGGGAAATGGGCAATGCCTATGATCATTTAAACCCTCAAGGAGCAGCGTGAGCTGAGCAGTGGGGACTAAGAGAAACTTACTCCACAGGAATCTCCTGCCTCTGGCCAGGGAAAGCCATAGGGTAGATCAGAGCAGAAGTGATCCTCAGAAGCCACCCTCCCCGGCCTTGACAAGAGGATACTGCACCCCCCCACCCGCCTCCATCCCCTTATTTCCAGCAACAACAGGGACCACCAGATAAACTAGAAGATGCTTCCTGTCTTCAGATTCAAGATGGAAGATATTGTGATAGTCTACTGGGATTTCCTCCCTGAATCAAAAACCCCTCTCAGCTTTTCACCCAGGAGACAACATGGTTTAGAGTGTGTCACGTTTTCAAACCTTCCACCTATGGTCCAAATATGCCATATTCCCACCTGCTGCCTTCTCTACCACACTGCCTCCTGCTGGCTATATGAGATTCCTACAAGAACACAGAACATTCAGCTCCCTGCCTCAATGGGATTCAACAACTTTATTAAGGTTTCTAGGAGCAAACATTGCTAAAAAATTCACACAAGAAAATTGCTTAAATCAATGGAAAATTTGCCAGAATTCTTTGCAGCACAACCCCACACTCTTTGATGAAGACAATGACATTGTCTACCTGTGTTTTCTTCCTGATAATCTCCATAAATCCTAACAAAGCTCACCTCTTCCTCTGGACTTTAAACCTATTCCAAGACCTATGATTTTTTTTCTCTCTCTGCTTCTCAATCAAACATATGTATCCCCGACTGGCCATGTCTCTGCTTTCTTGCTGGAAATGGATGTGCTTTTCCTCTCTGGTTGCCCACTCTCAGTCTCTGATTTCGGCTGCCTCCAGACCCACCTCTACATGAGGCACCTATCCATTTCTGATTAGGGACCCGCCATGCAGGGCAGGTGGGGAGGGTGCACAAAGGATCCGTCAGTGTCAGGACCGCAGGAGGGATGAGCATGCAAAGTGCACAGACGTGTGAGCGCTCAGCATCTGAGAGCAGAATTGTGAGCCTGGCTCCACACAGAGCCCAGCCTGTTGGGGATGGCCCCCCAGGGAGAGTTAGTACTGCAGCAGTTCTCACACTAGTTGATCTTGAAAATGATTTGCATACTTAAAATTATTAAGGACCCCAAAAAGATTTTATTCATGTGGTTTACATCTACTTCTTGTATTACAAATTAAAACTAGAAAATTTTAAACACATGTTACACAAGTAGATATTGCACTAGCTGGCAGAGTGATGATGTCATTGCATAGCCTCTACTCCCCGGAACATTCTACCATGGACTCATGAAGGAATATGAGTAAAAACATCAAATAGTACCAGCATTATTGTTAAAATAGCTTTGACTTTGCTGACCCTACTGAACGCATCTCAGGGACCCCCAAGGTCCCCACACCACACGTTGGCAGCTACTGATCTAGGGCATGATTGTGGAGCAAGCCTCTGGAACCTCAGAGCACAACGCACCATGGTAGCACAGGTTTCAGAGGGTTGAGGACGTTCCCCTTGGTCTCAGCTTACTTGTGAGTTTTATTTATGTCTGTTGCTTAACTATCCAGCCAGATTAAGGTTTGCCCTTTAATTCATAATGATTGATCAGAACCAGTTCAGCACGGCTAAATTGAATACTATACCAACATTCAACAGTCATTGACAACACCTAGAAAGCAGATAATTTATAAAACCTGAAGCTAAAGAGAATAAGACACTGAGGCTCTCTAGAGAAGCCTCCTCGGTTGTCTCCTGCAGCAGTAGGGGCACACGTGTGCTGCAGGAACCATTAGACTGACCTGGCGAGGGCTTCCATCAGGTGCAGAGGGCATGCCAATGACGTGTTGAACATGGCAGGTGAGGAAGAAGGCAGAGCAGAGGATGCTTCCTGGCTTCCTATCTCGGTTTCTTCCTTGGGTTCCTAAGTGCAACCAGCAGGAATTTCCTTGGGAGCAAATCATATTCAGTGATTATGGAAGTTCGAATCCAATCTAATTATTTCCCAATTCTCCTCCTACCAGCCATGCAATAGCCTCTCCATTATTTCCATGGAGGTAAAGTCACGTCATAGTCAATTGAAAAATATATCTGAAGGATAAAAAAATTTCAAGAACAATCAAGAGTGGAGGGGGAAGAGAAAAGATAAGATTTTCTTTTTAAGATGGAGTCTCACTTCATTGCCAGGCGCCAGGCTGGAGTGCAGTGGCACGATCTCCGCTCACTGCAACCTCTGCCTCCTGGGTTCAAACAATTCTCCTGCCTCAGCCTCCCAAGTAGCTGGGACTACAGGCATGCACCACCACGCCCAACTAATTTTTGTATTTTTAGTAGAGATGGGGTTTCACCATATTGGCCAGGATGGTCTTGATCTCTTCACCTCGTGATCCGCCCACCTCAACCTCCCAAAGTACTGGGATTACAAGTGTGAGCCACCACACCCAGCCACTAATTTTTACCTATAGTAGAATTGGGAACATCCCCCGAAATTTCACCCACTTCCCTTTCGCCTAGTCAACAAGATTATAGGTTCCTGGGTCCCTTCACTGTGCACAGGAATGTCACAGCTGGTTGATTTCAGACAGTAACAAAGAGACTGGAGCTTCTGGTTCTTGTTCTAAATCTTGTTATTAAACTCTTCTCCTGGACCTAAATTTTTCTCAAGCTGTTTGCATTGTAGGTGTATAGAATGTATTTTTCTCTACAATTTCCACAGCTTCAAGTCTCTTTTTAATGTTTAGCAGGCTGAATTTCTTAAATAAACTTTAAGCTGGCACTATTGCCTGTGTAGGTAGGAACCTCCATCCATCCGCTGTCTGGCCCCAAACCACTGACGTGTTTCTAGCAGCACCACCTGGGAACTGGTGGTATCAAAAGATCAGAGATACTCGAACTACACCTTGGCGAGGAGCACAAGGTGAGTCCTTTGTGAGGCACACAGGAGGACACAATTTCCGTTTCTTTATTTTGAGAGATTTGGTAAACCTTCTCCTGGCCCGCCGACCAGCCCAGGAAGTCTTGCTGGTGAAGAGAAGAAGAGGATGTGGTATCCATACACAAATGCAGCTAGAGAATGAAAGACTGGATGAACTGCCACACGAGGGTCAATATGCATCGACCTAAAAAGAGACAGAGTCCCTCTACATCATCCCTGGAGGTGACAGGTCCCCAGGAGGTTTTCTGTGACCCACTCACCCCCACCTATCACCGAAATGGATTTCCATAGCACACTGATCAAACTTCAGCCATATCTCCCCATACTTAACTCTGTGCCTCAACATCAGTGACCCCTGCTCACTCTTGCCTAAACTGCAGAGTGCTTGTCAAGGGTGCTCTGCATCTTCATCCCCTGGGCTTCCCTCACACATGCGCGTGCACACACACTCACAGGCGCATACATGCACACATGAGCACACAGGCATGCACACGCACACACAGGGTCTGGCCTCTGGGAGAGGCTCAATGACTTTAAACTTCCTTTGATCCTAGAGAGCAGAGCTAGAGGTGGGCTAGTTAATGTTAAGTGATTTCATTTCAAGTCCCCCAAAAGAGATGGTGGCATTGGGGTGGGGCATATGAAAGATGCTAAGTACCCAGCCCAGGAATCCCTGCAGAAGAACCATTTCCTGGAGAGGAAGAGCTGAGCAAGTCCTTTCTGCTTGTCTCCTCTCAGACCAGGATGTCCCAAAGACCCGAGGTGCTGCTGAGCAAAGTGGACCTGCCTGCCTATCCCTTTCTCTCACTCCCACATCTCCATCCAGGGCAGCTGTCTAACTGGAGCCCCACTGGGGGCATAGAACAATCATACCTCTGCAGGTCTATGAGGGCTGCATGGACACCAGAGCCCCTGACACACTGCCTGCCCACCACGCCCCGAAGACACAGATCACAGACATGATGCTCTTAGACCTGAGCTGGAACTTAACTTTCTCAAATCCCCATGCTCTGCGCCTCCTTCTGCATCATCTTGAGCTTGTAGCCAGCCTAGGGTAACAGAGGCTTGGGAATTATACCCTTTCTGATGTTCAATTCTGATTCTTTAGTTGGCTAACTCAAACTGGCATGTACTAACCTCCTGGAAAAAAAGAGATCAGATTTTAAAGTAACTAGAAATAGTATAGGTGAAGAAGAGAAACAGAAATATGAGAAAAGACAAAATGTCTGTTAATAGACATTAATAACTATTAATAGAATGGATTAAAACACAGGAAAATTCGCCTGACATTCTAAAAGACATCTAGTCCTGCCTCCCATCGACTTAACTATTCTCCACCAAAAGGCCTTCAAAAGATTGGTTGGCATTTAATTAAACATTTGGTGGTCCAGACAGTTCATAAACTTAGGAAGGGCTGCTACTGGCCTGAGAAGAGGGGGTTGGCGACTTCTTCCTTACCTCCTGCCACTTGTACCCATGCATTCTGCCCCTGCTCTCTAGAACATTTGGGTGCATGTCTTCATGAGGCACAGCCTTGAATTATGTGCCGGCTTGTGCTCCCCCCTCCAAACTTTTGTTCCCTTGGGCTAAAACTCCTCCACTTCCTTTTCCATTTTTTAACAGGCACTCTATCTCGCTGCTTCTCTAACTCTGGTTTTTTCTGAATCATCGCAATGTGAGCATGATTGTCATAGACAGTAGAATCCAGAATTGTCCTCAGTCCTCTGAGGTTGGCGTAGACATGGGCAGGCATTGGCACCTTGATGCAGCCCCAGAGACACTCCCCTTGGCTGAGTCCTGTGTTCCACGGGGGCAACTGTGGCAGTAAGTGAGTGGGAGTGAAGGTCTTAGTACCTGAGGATAGAGAAGTAGGGGAGGAGAGGGAATGTCTCACATGTGAATATTCAGGAGAAGGCTCCTCCACAGCTGTCGCTAAAGTTGAAAAGTTCTTGCAGTGTATCATCAATCCAGGAAAGATGACCTAGCAGCAGCTGGAGCAGTGCCAAATGCCCGCCAGCCCCCTCCTGGGTCCCCAGGCCCTGCTTTTACCCCACAGCTGGCAGAATGCACTTCCTCCCCAGGCCAGCAAGAATACCACCAAAGCCAAAGAGGCTCTTCTGAAGCCTCTCTCCCCTCAGGATCCAGGCGGTACATTGCTCCCTGCACTCTCTCCAATCTCTGTCTTCCAGAACCACAAAAAACACCACAAAGCCCACAAATTATCTTTCATCTACTGAAAGAGAAGGATACCTTCATAGACCACCAAATAAGGGCAGTTCAACACTCTCCTCCCAGCTCCTCCTCCAGGCAACAGCAAAGACTGGACACGTGGGTCATGTTTCAGGTATCTTTCTGAACAGCCGACTTGCTCTCCATTCTCTGTTTTGACCCTGCGTGGTAAGGACCAGTCAGCTCATCCAAATGCGGCCTCCACTACCACTGCTGCCCCCTGCTGGCTCAAGAAGGCATCTCCAATATGGAGTTAACCTTCCTTAGCTCTCTCTACCCGTGGGTTCCACCATTTGGGGGGTCTTGAGTAGCGAGGATGATTGAAATTCTAAGAAATAAAAACTGCTTTAGACAATGGTAAAGTCTTCAGAATCAAGACAATTACATTTATCACCTCCTCTCCTGGCCCCTCCTCACTCTGCTCCCAAGCCTGTTTTGAACATGCTGAGATGATCTTTCCTTTCCTCTAGAGGCACGGGGACTCCCTCTCACTCACCACACACACCTCCTTCCTCCATGCTACAACCCTGAGCACCCCACAGCCCACAAGACTCCAAGTCTCATGAGCACCAAGGAGAAGACCTTCCCAGGCCCCTGGGTCTCCAAGGTGGTGAATGGCTCTAACAGATCCTTTCCAGAAAACAGCAGGAATTACACAAAAGTACCCAGGGCCTTCCTGGGGGCCGGGTGTGCCATCCTTCCCGTTCCTTATCCCCCTTTTTAATTTGTTTATATTTTTGTGGTAAGAACTCTTAACATGAACTCCATCCCCTTAACCAATTATAAGTGTGTCAATCCAATGCAGTGTTGTTGACTACGGGTACGACGTTGCTCAGCCACGTTAATAACTCATTTAATCCTCCCCTGTCCCTGCTAACCACTGTTACAGTCTTCCATTTAATGAACCTGACTATTTTTAGATATTTCATATAAGTGGAATCGTGCAGTATTGGTCTTCCTGTATTGGACTTATTTCACTGCATAATGTCCTCGAGGGCCATTATGTTGTTGAATAAGGCAAAATTCCCTTCCATTTTAAGGCTGGTTAGTATTTCATCATGTGTATATACCACATTTTCTTCATTCGTCTGTTGATGGACATTTAGGTTATTTCCACATCTTATCTGAAGTCAGATAAGGTAGGGTGGGTTATTCCAGCTGCTACTATTCCAACCCGTGCTGCCTCCTGCTGGCAAAAGATCATTCGGGAAACACAGCTCCGCCTCACATTTTATTAAAAAATATAAAGACCTTGAAAAGCTGGTTAAGGAATTGACAAGAAGGATTTTAAATCATCTGAAAATTTCCCCCAAATTCCTGACTTTGTAATCCCACACTCAGTAAAAGAAATGGGTCTCTGCTTTTCACTGCCTACCTTACCCGTGCAATGAGTTCTCGCTTTGTGCCCTGAGCCTGCAGAAGGCGCTCTCAACCTGCTGAGGGATTTTTCTCTTCATCTCTGCTATCTCCATTAAGGCATCTGCCCCAGTGAGCCCCTAGTTTACTGCTCTTGCTGGTAGCTGGGAAGGTGGTGGAGTCACAAGAGGAAAAAGGAAGTCGAAGCCTGGTGGGTGCCTTAGGAAGAGCCCTCAGGTAGAACGTGGGCTCCACAGCAGAGTGGGGTAGAGCTTCACTCAAGAGAGTGACTCCCATCTACCCACAGGATCCTCCCCTACTGTGCCTTGCCCAGCTACCTCCCTGCCAAGTCCACCCCATCCCGTATCCTCCCCAGTGCTCCTGAAGAGGGTCTCAGGCAGATAATGTATGTGGGGGTGCATGTGTGGGAGGCAGGGGTCGAGAGGAGGTACAGGGCAAGAGAAACCCCAGCTGCAGGGAAGGGGATATGGAGACTCAGGTCTGAGGCCTGGCACTTGAGTCCATCACTGCTTGGGAGCCTGGATCAGATGGCAGCCGTATCCTGGACAAATCCAACATGATCTGGGATTTCCAGCCTACACAGCACAGTGGTGCCTGCCTCCTGGAATCTCTGGGCCTTGGAAAGATATATTCATGTTGGAAGTTGACCGTGAGAAACAGATCACCATCTCCATAGAGTTGGATCTTCCTCCTCTGACAGATATTCATTTACCTCTCCTGCTGAACTTTGTCTTGTATATCCATTCATTTATTCCCCACACATTCACTGAGCATATATTATATATCAGGCCCTGGCCCATCACTAAAGATGCAAAGAATAAGAAGGCTCTTTCCTGGATTAGGGCACAGTGTGAGACAGGAGACACAGCAACAGCCCCCCCGCAGAACAGGTGGGGAGTCAATCTGTGGGGAGCATCCCAGGCATGTTCAGGATGGTATCTCTTAAATACAGCAGGGTGGGAGGCCAGGGCAGTTCACATGGAAGGTGGAATTTTCAAGTTGTATCTAGAAGTTAAAAAATAAATAAATATCAATAAGGCAAAAAGGAGGGGGATACTCCAGTTAGAGAGGAGGGCAATTGCAAACCCATTGAAATAATATTCCATCTCCTTATTGACAATAAGCGTTGACTATTGCCTGACCAACATGTGCCGAGCCATACACTGGGCACTGCGGAAACAGAGGTTAAAGAAATAATTTGTTCCTGATCTTTATACTACATCACGTGAGAGAGTAGAGCGGGACATAAATAACTACAAAATTAACTATAAAATATGGGGATAAACATTTCAGAATGAACTTGGCTAAGACAACTAACAGCCTAGCCTGATAAGGTAAGAAAATGCATGCCCAAGGAGAATTTCCTATGAGCTTAAGGTTGAGGAGCAGAGAGGGAGGGCTTGGCCAGCTAACAAAAAACTCGGAGTTTAAAAAAAAAAAGTCTGGCATATTTTGGGAACTGCAAGTGGCTTAACCCCAGGATCTATGGTAAAATTAGAAGTCTGAGATGAAAGCAGACACCAGATTAGTAAGAATTTTGTTGACCCAACCAAAATCCTTGGGCCTCATCTTACAGTCAATGGTAAAATATGTTTCTGTTTTATAAAATTCACTTTGGCAACGCTGTAGGGGTTGAACTAGTGGTGGGGCTCTTTGGAGACAGGGAGACCTGTGACAATGATGTCACAATAAAGGCCGCAGTCACGTATGTGAGAGGATGGGGGACCGGCTTGAGCAATGTGCCCTGCGGCTCCGACACACGGCCTGGCTCAGCAGCCTTGTGGCTCAGGAGGTAGAATGTGCAGGTCCTGGTAGCCATTGGGTGTGAGGTTGAGTAGGAAGCAAGAGTCTGGGATAATCCCAGGTTTCTGGTTAAGTCTTGGTGGACAGGATGCTATTCACAGAGTTGGGGCGCATAAGAGGAGCAAGAGGGACGTGTTAAGAAAGATGTGGAAGGTGTTGAATTCTGATTTTGTAAAATCCGCTTGAGGTACCAAAGCACATCCAATGGATGTTAATATTGGGACCTAGAGTGCAGGGAAGAGGGTGGGCTTTGGGATTCTCCGGTGCAGAGCTCGTAGTTCCAGCAATGGTGGATAATATCAGCAGCAAGGGTGCAAAATGAAGGTGCAGGTGATGTTGAAAGGATTCATCAGAGGAGGAAAGGCTCAGGAAGGAGACGAAATGAGGCTAGAAGTGGGAGGCTACCCAGGTCACCGAGGGCCAAAAAGGGAGAGGAGTAAAATATGGGACACAACAGTATCAATACTGCAGTAAAGTCAAATAGGATAAACCCTGAACCATGTCCATGAGGATTTCATAGAGCTGTCTTCCCCCTTTACATAATGAATCAGCAAAAACACACAAATATCAAGAAAAACTTGGGAGAGCTGGCTGTCTCCAGGTTGTTTAAAATCCAGGAGAAGATGAGGAATACCAGCCGAGAGAAGCTGAAGAAGAGCCCGCCAATGCCGAGGCGCTGCAGGAGGTGTGCACATCATACTAAAGAACTGTGGCCAACACCCAGCCAGTGGGGAGAGGAGAGTCTGTGAAGAGCACATTCAAGTTCTCCGCAAGAGAAAGGTCAGGCATAAGCACCTGCCAAGCCCAGAAAGCTCCTTTGTCAGTTCACAAACTGTTCAGGTCTTTCTCGTCCCTTTGCAGTCCCTACCCGAATGGACAAGAGGCAGCTGGGGGAGTAACGGAAGGAAATTAAAAACTTCTAGTAGCTAATGGAGAAGATATTCTTCTTTTCCATGCAGCCTTCCCTCCTGCAGTAGTCCCAAGTAGAAAAGAGAAGGAAACCCAACATTCAGGGAATGGCCTTCCAATTACTGAAATAAGATTGTTTATGTAAATAGAAGGGATCGGGGAACTTATTTCTTAGCATGGCTCTAAAAGTCAAGGGCATCTGCTAGAGATTTCATTCCAAGAAGAAGGGAAGAGCCAGCCCCACGGAGAGGGTTTTAAGAGGCATCAAGAGAAGTAGAGTTGTTTTCTGGCTTATCATGCGGGCTCTGCTTGTTCAACCAGAGTTACGTGGAGAGATAGAAAAAGGCAGGGAAAAAATAGAAATACTTTGCCAAAAAATCAGAGAGCGGGATCATAGCATGTCCCTGGGCTGATACACTATACAGACATACAGGGCCTTTGGACACACACAGAGGAGCCATTGAATGATCCAGTGACTTTTTGGCCTAAATTAAGTTACTATATTTTATCAATAACACTGATAAACCCTCCCTACCTTAAACTGAAATCACTCATTAACAGTTAATATTAAAATATCTAATCTTACTGTGAACACCACCAGGAGCTTTAGCTGGAAGGCAGGGGAAAAAACGGTATGGAGAAGAGGTCTAAGGATAATATTGAGTTGGAGAAGCAGGATTATAGGGCCAGAAAATGAGAAAATGAGACTGAAATGAAGATACAGAGAGAGAGGTTCAGCAAGCCAATGAAGACACCCGGCCAGCACTGATGAAAAATAATAACTAATATGAATAACAGACATTTATTGGGGATATGTCACACATAGCATCTCAGTCTTTAGAATTATATGAATCTAGTGAGTTAGTATAATGGATGAGGGTGTCGGTTTTGCACTTGTAAATATGCCTGGCATGTTATGAGCAATCAACTTAAGTTATACAGTATCCTAAGATGATGCTGGCATTATATCATTTTATAGATGAGGGACTTGAGACCCGGAGGGTTAATTACTAGGAGTTGTTCAGCAAGTAAAGGATGGAAGCAGGATTTAAACCCAGAAATCTGACTTCAGGGTCCCCTTCTAACCCCTAATCATGGCAGGCCAGGCTTTGACATTTATCTCTTCTTCCAGCCTCTCTCGTGGAGGCCCAGCAGCCTAAAAAGCCTGTTCTGTGTTTCGTCTCAGTAGTGCTTCCTTGCAGTCAGCGAAGGAAGTCATTGAGCCACCAAACCCTAAGTGAAAGGTAGGGCAGGTAGCTGGGAAACCAAATGTAACACTGCCAGGACTGCTGGCCTTTACAGAGGAGGGTTTTAAAGACTGCAAAGACAAGGAACAAACTGCGTCCTACCGAAAGTCCAGTGACTGATATACTTTCATTCACTGAGAACTTCTTGAGCAAGAAATAGGAGCAGAAGGAAAGGAGAAAGAGGAAGATAACAATGGCTAGTTTTTATCTACATTTCTTACGTTTTATCTACATTTCTTATCTAACACTACATTTCTTACGTTGCTGTCGCAAGTGACTACCTTGTCCATATCCAGATTGGTACCTTTGGTCCAGAGCTGAATGTCAGGTGAGGCTGAGTCTCCTGAGATGGGTGTGACAGCGGCTTCTCAACAGCTTTGAGGACACAGAGCTGATGAGCAAAATTATGGCGGGAAGAGGAAATTCTTATGAGAGGAGTGGGTTGCACCAAGACTCTGACTCTCCCACTGATTATCCCAGTGATAGGGGGTTAAATTCCAACCCACTCTCCCCTTTTATTTAGGTTCATTTGAGGTTTAATTGAATAGGGCATTATTTATCCTTGTGAATAAACCCTATGTGAGGTTTCTGCATCTTCATCTCATGATCATCCATTCAATAAATGTTGGACTGAATTGAACTGAAGGTCTCAGGTCTCCCCAGTGGCATAAGGGCAAAGCCATATTTACAACCACCCAAGAGGGTTCACTCTAACTACACTCTTCCCAGACTTAAACCCATATTCTTTTAGCACAAACATGTTCCCCTGTTTCCTCAGCTCTCATTAACGGTAGCACTAACGTCCCAAAACCTGGTGAAACATTGTTCCCAAGGGTTAAAGAAACTAGTGACTAACAGAAATTCTTGAGTGTACACAATGGCAGATCAAAGAAAGAAAGAAAGAAAGAGAGAGAGAGAGAGAGAGAGAGAGAGAGAGATAGAGAGAAAGAGATAAATAATAGAAAGAAAGAAAGAAAGAAAGAAAGAAAGAAAGAAAGAAAGAAAGAAAGAAAGAAACAACTTGCTGAAATGCTGGAGCTCTCTCTGCTTGTAAGATAACAAAATTGGCTGAAGTCATTGGCACTCATATGGCAGACTGCAGTCTGCACAGAAAAAGCGTGCTGATGTCACAGCCAAATTTCCCCTGCACGTTTCATACAAACTCTCCCCCAAGTTGCACATGTGACCCATGAGGTAGCATGAAGAGATAACTTTCCATGCCCATGAAATTTTTCCAGACCTCCCTTTTCCTTCCATCAGTCACCGACTAACCCCAGAATATAACCTCTAAACCTTTCCCAATAATGTTACTGCCTTAAAGTCAACACAGGGAGGCAGATTCAAGCTGGACTCCTGGCTCCTTGATGGTCGATTTGCAGTAAAAGCTTTTCTTTTCTCAAAAACCCGGTGTCATAGTATTGGCTTCTAGAACATTGGGAAGCAGCCCTTTGGCTCAGGAGCCATCTTCAATTCTTGATTTTCTGCAGATTCAGTAAATACGTCTCATGAATCTGCCTCTCTAATGAGATCTCTCTCATGGGCACCCTGACCCATGACTGCCCTCCTTCAGATGTGGAGATTTTCGTAATTTTCTAGAAACAGAAATTTTTCTAGAAAAATTTTCTAGAAACAGAAAATTTTCTGATTCTACTTTCACTTCACCACCTTATCTCCCCAACCATCCTAATACTTCAATACTTTGGGCACAATCTTGTCACAATTTTAATCAAAAGTCACTCGTGATTCATTCTTGATGATTGCGAGGATGAACCTGGCTCCCTGTGTCTGAGCCCTACCCCCCTTTCTCACGCCAGTCTCCCATCACCACTCCTGACATGTCCCTATTCCAATCACAAAGACCCTGGTCAGGCCTTTAAAAAGGCAAGGAAGGAATTCTGAGAGGCAAGATCTGGGGTAAACCAATTGTGTGGGGTGGTAAGAAGAGGTTTCAGAATCTCACATTAGAAAAATGAAGAAAAGAAGAATGTCAAAATGGTTGTGATCAGTTCAGGGTTGCTTTCCTAGAAAGGTGGGGAAGGGACAGGTTCAGAGGAGTTCAACGTTGGAAGTGACAGAAGAGCTAGAGACCACGTGTCAACAGTGGGCCAGTTTTTTTGCTCCTAGCAACAATGAGCCTCCCACCCTCAGACCCCAGGACTCTTGACTGCAGCCTCATTTTACGAGCCTGAATGTTGAGGGGTCTAGGGAGGGGTGGGACAGCCAAGGGGGGTGAGTCATCATGTCTCTATTCTGGTGTCCAGGGTTTGAGTTGTGCCAGGAGCTATTGGGGTCACACAACAATCACTCCTTGATGATGCTGCAATGACCTCACAAGTGGAGGTCATTGCCCCCAGCCCCACCCCCAGCATCCTCAAAGCTGGGCAGAGGAACCAGAGGGAAAATCCACCTTCCCGGGCACAGCGGTACCATCCACCTCAGTCGACTGCTTGTCAAGTTCACCACCAACACAGAGGGGTAAGTTGCATTTGGACAGCTGAAACTGGCCATTCTTTGGCCTATTCTGTGAGGGAGTGACCTGAAGTACCCCAACACTGAGCAGGGTTGGGAAGGTCATGTTTGAATGAAAGTTTCCTGTTATTTTCAGTGGTAAGAACCAGGGTGTGCTTCACCTTGGAATAGATTCGCAACAATTTTAGAGTTCAACTTAATCATATGCCTCCCCAGAGAGCTATACTGATTTTAAAACGAAATTTAAAATGTCATTTTAAATATTATTTTCTTGCTAAAGGAAATACAACCAATTAGATCCAACTTGAAGTATTGTGAGGGACTGAAAATCCCTTTCTATATGTAGGAGTTAAACTGTCCATACAGAAATACCTAGCTCAGGGAAAAACTCAACAGGGGAGAAAGGGAATTCCATTCTGAAAACTATATTTTGTGGCTCTACTGTTCATATTTTCAGAGAAATTGGAATTTCCTGGTTCATCTCCTGATTTCTTCACTTACCCTGTTATTTATCAGAGCCTGGATGAAGGCCAGGGAGGTGGCAGTTCTGCAGTAGTCCATGGGAACCCACTGGTGGCAGGGATTAAATTACTTAATTTAAAGTAATGCTTCCCATGGCCTTGAATAAAGAAAGCAATTCTCAAAGTTTAGGGGACTTGAGTGGGACACAGGATTGAAAGCAGTGTCCTAGGTCCCCAAGTCTGCTAATGTACCTCCCATCTAGCCTCAGAGGAATGGGAAGTGGCCTTAGCGGAGTGAAACGTGTGTTGTGCTATGAATGCCTTGAGCAATCTGCTCAAACTTAGGGACTCCTTGTAATCACATTTCTAAATGAATCAAATACAACATAAGGGGTTACAGAAGATACTAACTATACTGAAATACAGTTTCAGTGGGGTGGGGGATGATGGGGGGGTCCAAAACCCTATGTTAAGAACTCCTACTAGAGTCTAAGGAAAGGAAGCAGATAAGTGAAAAGAAAGCAAAGTAAGGGTGGAGAGATTAAGAAATGCCATCTCAAACTCATACGAGGATGAGGACCGCCCTGAGTGAGAAGATGGTCTAGAGCCTGAGTGCATCCAGGGAAGACTGTCTTAAATACAAGGATAAGCTGTAAGAAGCCTGTACGAAGCCTCTCCCACCTACAACCCATCTCATATTTCTTTGCAGGGCTCAGACAATCAAGAAACAATGTCAAGTGATGATAAAAGTCAATCAAATGAGCCCAAGAATGAGCCCAAGAATGAGCCCAAGAACTGCAATCCCAAATGTGAACAGAAGTGCGATTCCAAATGCCAGCCCAGCTGTTTAAAGAAGCTGCTGCTACGCTGCTCTGAGAAGTGCCCACGGGAAAAGTGTCTGCCACCAACCAAGTGCCCGCCCTGCCCCTCACAGTCCCCTTCATCCTGCTCTCCCAAGCCCTGTGCCAAGCCCTGTCCTCTTAAATGCCCTCCTCCCTGCCCGCCTCCCTGCCCTCCCCCAGAGTGAGGCACTGTGGGCATCACCCCATCCCACCGCCACTGCCACCTCCACTATGTACAATGTGTGGGGCTGGGAACTGAAGCCATGAACTGACAAGTAAACGTGTTCCTCTGCTGTGCAAGACTTCAGGTGTTCTGGTGGGTTTTGATTTGTCTCAAGACTTCCGGTGTTCTGGTGGGTTTCCATTTGCTTCGTTTGTTGTTTTATGGCACTAAACCACCAACAAGCAATCCCTGAGAAGTGAAGCTGGAACCCTGTACCGTCAGCATCCTTTGAGAACTGACTTTCCCTCTGACCCCACCTGCTGCTTAGAGGCAGGTGCCCACCTCTGAAGAGTGTACCTAGGGAATGCCAGGCCCTGTTAGAGCAAAGCCTGAGAGATCCATAAATGTGGCTGCAGCTGTGAAAGCATCTAACCACAGGAAGCAGGAAGGAGAGGTATGAGAGAGAAAGAGGAGTAGAACATTGGTGAAAGTTCCAGGAAGGCTCAGGAAAAGGCATTGGACTACCTTTCTGTTAGTTCTGTTGCTTAATGCTTATGCAGAGGGGCTCTGAGTACAGGCGACACAGGTTTAAGAAACCATCTCGGCCGGGAGCGGTGGCTCAAGCCTGTAATCCCAGCACTTTGGGAGGCCGAGGCGGGTGGATCAAGAGGTCAAGCGATCGAGACCATCCTGGTCAACATGGTGAAACCCCGTCTCTACTAAAGATACAAAAAATTAGCTGGGCATGGTGGCGCGTGCCTGTAATCCCAGCTACTCAGGAGGCTGAGGCAGGAGAATTGCCTGAACCCAGGAGGCGGAGGTTGCGGTGAGCCGAGATCGTGCCATTGCACTCCAGCCTGGGTAACAAGAGCGAAACTCCGTCTCAAAAAAAAAAAAAAGAAACTATCTCTGCTCCGTAACACCTTGTAACCTCAGCAAATGGCTTAACTTCTTTGTGTCTCGGTTTCCTTCTCTTTGCAAAAGGAATGATGATGCTAACAGTACTGTTCTTTACAGAGTTGTTGTGAGGCTAAAGAGTTAACAAACACCAGGCCCGGTGTGGCACGGTGGCTCACACATGTAATCCTAACAATTTGGGAGGCCGAGGCAGGTGGATCACCTGAGGTCAGGAGTTTAAGACCAGCCTGGCCATCATGGTGAAACCCCATCTCTACTAAAAATACAAAAATTAGCCAGATGTGCTGGCACATGCCTGTAATCCCAGCTCCTCAGGAGGCTGAGGAAGGAGAATCGTTTGAACCCAGGAGGTGGAGGTTGCAGTGAGCTGAGATCATGCTACTGCACTCCAGCCTGTGTAATGGCAGCAAACTCCATCTCCATCTCAAAAAAAAAAACAGGTTAACAAATGCCAAGTACCAATTACAGGGACATAGTGAGTTGGTAAGCCTGAATGTAATTGCTTTGTGTATGTCTTCTTAGCCTGTAAATCTCCTGACCACAGGAGTCAGGCTCTTACATCTGTAAGCATAGAGCTAGACATTCTTTAAAAAATAATCAAAAATGAGTAATGGATTGTACCAATATCTGTTACCTGGCTCTGACACTGAACTATGGGTACATAACATTTCACTATTGAAAGAATTCCAGTGAAGTGTATATGAAACCTCTATTTTTGCAACTCTCTGTGAATATAAAAATTTCAAAATAAAAACTTAAGTACAAAAAAATAGATATTGTACATATCTGGAAAAACCTCAGTTCAGAATGAATAGGGAAAGCATTCATAGCTGACGTGTTAGTAGGGATTATTTTTACAAGTAGCTAGAGAGAGTCCATGTCAAACTAGCTTAATTCACAAAACAGAATTAATCAGCTCATGCTGAGAAGGATTTGGAGGCAGGGCATAGGATTAAAGGGAGAACTGTAGGAATCGAGATTTCAGGGCCTGGGATCAGGGACCCACTCCACCATCTCAGCCAATCTCATCTTGCCAGCCTCAGAGTATGTTTCATCCTCTCCTAGTGCCTCCCCACCACGCAGCAAGGTCCTGGGCCAGTCGTAGACCTGGCTTGTTGACAGGTTGGGCACAAGGATATTCCTATTTTTACCAGAAGCAGAACCTGATTGCCTAGAAGAAGGTCATGAGCACAACCCTGTGGTCAAGCCGATGACAGAGCTTTGCGGCACAGACAAACCAGTTGTGAATTGTTTCAGTGCACTGCATATCAGTAGTGACACAGTGCACAGCATTTCACGACTCCCCGCTGTCACTGTAATAGATAACCGAAGAGCCAAATCTGGGATGGCTCCCTATGAAACCATGGCACAAAACTAGCTCTCATTCTTCTGAGCCTGGAAGATGGTTCACACAGCGAAGGGTGAGGCATGTACAGAGAGTCCAAAATGTGTCAAAGAAAAGATACCTGGGACCCCACCAGACTGAGGCTGTACAGTCAACCGGTGACAGAGCAGGCTTAAGGCACCACCCCCTCGTTTTCCAGGTGTGACATGAGGAGATCTTGGGGCCTCAGGGTCTTCGAGGCACTGAGGTTCCCACACTCTAGATCCCTGCAGAGAGGCAGTCACTGGACGCCAGGAGCCTCTGAAAGTCTAGTTTTGAGCACTGGGGACTGTGGTAACAGGTAGAAACCCATTCAGCTGTGGGTAACAGGTAGAAACCCTTCTACCTCACAGGAAGTCAAAAAGGAGGAGGGATGGGAGAAAAGGAGAGAGAGAGAAAAAAAATAGAACAACAACGTGGCGTCTTCATCCGTGGTCAAGAGACCACCCTCAATTAAATGGTCACTTTTAAGGAATAAATCCCAGAACCCAGCGCTGAAGAGTGTGCTACAGTTGGTGGGAATATAAATAGACAGAAATACTTTTTGGGGGCGTGGATTATGGGAATATATATCAAGGAATGTGGGAATATATATCATCAAAAGCATAAGCTGATTCAACTCTTTGGCCCAAAGGGTCCACTTCATAGAACCTATCCAAAAAAAAAAACCACACATCACAAAATGGTGGGTAGGGGAGCTATAGAAATGAAGGTTGATTATCACAGCATAACTTAGAAGCAATTTAAATATCTAACAACTTGAACCTATTATAAGATAGGTTTGATTAAACTTGAACCTATTATATGATGAAACATGTTTTGATTAAACTTGAACCTATTATATGATGAAACATTATGTTGTAAGATATTAAATTTAATAATACACTAATAAGTTTATTTCATTAAATGTAATAATTTTAAAACATTAAAATGAATTTTAATTTATTTAACTTTAATATATTGATTAATCCATTTAATACATTAAAGTGAATTAAAGAAAGTAAGGCCTCAACTGAAAATATAGCATAAAGCCATTATCATTAATCAAAAGCTTCTTTGATAATAGCAATAATAATAACAAAAGGGGATTTGTGGATATTCTTATTATTTTAAGACAATGGGGTTATGGGTTACTAGTGCTTTATTTTTATTTTCATTGGTTTCTGGATTTTCACATGTTTTTGTTTTGCAATGAAATAAAGTAGAAGTAATCATGAAATAATCAACAACTTATGAAATAATCATGACTAATTCAGAGACCCCCAAAGTCGTTTATTTCACTCAATGTACAAAAACAGGGAAGGAAGAACGTTTTAGGGAGTGTGCGCCACATTGAAGTCACCTCTCCCAAGGACGCCTTCCCTCCAGGCGCAGGATCTCAGTCCCAGGCCACGGGTAGCTCCAGGGGGGCACAGGCACATTCTAGAAGGCTTTATTAGTGAATGGGTCAGGGGGCTGTGCCCTCCCAGGCGGTTCAGCAAACTCTGGGCACAGGCCAGGAGGAGGCCAGCTCCGGGAGCACGAAACCATTCATTGCCAATTTAGGTCTTGTTTCTCCCATGTGAATGGAACCAAAGATAGACATCGCTTAATGGCTACTTTCCCAACAAAAAGCTGGATCAAAGGCAATTCTGGGGAGATGCCTGGAACATGATGAGGGTGCCACCTCCCTGCAGAATGCCATAATTACTCCCAACCCCAGCGGCAGTCACCGGGGTTCTGCCCCAAACAGTAGAGGGCTGTATAAATAAGCAACGCCTGAAGAGTAGCATCATGAGAATCTGTGCAGCACCAGGCTCGATGGCTCCCAGATAACAAGACGGGCAGGACCAAGTCCTCTCTCTTCATGACAAAGCACTTCCGGGAATCCATTGAGATGGTCACGAAAGGAGCCTCCCCTTTGCCTCGTGCTTTCCTTAGAATCAGGCAGAGTACAGCTAGCCTTCTAAAAAGGTTTCTAAGGCCTCCCAAATCAGGCAACTGGCTGTGAGGTGGGCTGGCGCTGTGAGGGCTGGGCACAGGACCACAGGAATGTCTGGCTTTGAAGCTGGAAGGAACCTTAGAGACCATTTTTCTGCATCCCCCACCTCCACGCACGAATGGCAACTGGGGACAGGGGAGGAAGTAACCAGTTACCAAACGTCCTATTTTTCCTGTCCTGTTCCCACATGACCAAAGATTGCAGCTCAGTTCACAAGCACAGGCACATTCTAGAAGGCTTTATTAGTGAAAAGTCATAACTGCTTTCATGTCACACGTGTTGAGGCTGAGCAGATCGAGCAGTAAATACACTAAGCCGTTTGCCAAACACATAAAGATTCTGAGATACAAACTGATCGTAAAATGCATACCAGGATATTTTCAGCTGCACTTGTCTTCCAAGCACGTGAAACCTCAGATGCCTCATCTCCAGAGCCATGTGCTCCCTCCCAGGCTCAAAGGAAAGTCTTCCCAAACTAAGGAGTCACGACTTTTTCCCAGAAATGCGCTCATGATCCCTCACCCACACCACTCAACCCTCCTAACTGGCTTTCAGAGTTCACCTTCCTCCAATCCTTACTCCAGTGGAAGCCAGCCAAGGCAGTCTCGCTAAAATTCAGATTCATCCATGATGTCTTTGCTTAAAACCCTTGAGTCTCCCCTTTGCCTAGAGGGCAGCTCAGATAACACTCTGTCATGCAAACGTCTTCAGGATCTACCCCTGCCTCCTTCTCTAGCCACAGAGCCATTTCTCCATGTCTTTTTAGAACTTTACAGCCCAGTAACAGGTAACTGCTGGCATTTCCTGGCACACAGCAGACAATCTCTGACCTTTGTGACCTTACACTCCCCTCTCTATCGTTTCTCTCTGCCTCCACTGAATCTTCCTCTGAATGATTCACCTGGGCAAATCCTCACCCTTTAACTCAATTCAGGGGGCACTTGCTCCAAGAATCTTCCCCATGTCCCACCCCCAATCTGGTTAAACGCCCCTCTCTGTGGTCTCAGAGCTTCCATGCCTCCCTCTCCTTATCACTCCACATTCTGGCCACGTGTCTGTAACCTGACCCTCCCAACACCCTACCCTTTGAGAAAGGGGCAGCCGGGCACACATAGCAGACATGCAGTAATAACCAAGGAGTGGATGCTCAGTGGCTACAGAGTCACTTTCCCAAACAGAAGGGAGGGGCTCTGGACTGAGCCCTTGTCCAGTGTGCTTTTTTTTTTTTTTTGAGACGGACTTTCACTCTTGTTACCCAGGCTGGAGTGCAATGGCGCGATCTTGGCTCACCGCAACCTCCGCCTCCTGGGTTCAGGCAATTCTCCTGCCTCAGCCTCCTGAGTAGCTGGGATTACAGGCACGCGCCACCATGCCCAGCTAATTTTTTGTATTTTTAGTAGAGACGGGGTTTCACCATGTTGACCAAGATGGTCTCGATCTCTTGACCTCGTGATCCACCCACCTTTGACTCCCAAAGTCACTGTGCTCTTTAACCTCAGGGCACGGAGTCATCTCCAGAACGCAGCGGTGGGGAGAGGGGAAGGGGACAGCATGAGGGACCTGGGGCTGAAAGGCATTTCTGGCCCTGGTCTAAGTCCTGTCCTTGGCCACTTTCCCCTTCGGCCACAAGATGTAGATCCTGCCAGCCCTCCTCCTGCCTTGTCAGGAAGATGCAGCCTGCCTCCATGCAGGTCCCTCACCTCAGGCAGTGGAAAGGAAAGGGAAAGCGCTTGCCATCCACAGACTTGGGCTTCAAGCAAGCGCTGTGCCAGCCAGCTGTGAAGCTGGGCAAGATGCTTCACCTCAGTGGGAGAAGGGGGCTCGGGGTCTTCACCTGAGAAATGAGAAGAAGAGTCTCACCAAGGGGTGAGGGTGGGGAGGTGAAGTGACATAACTTATGTCAAGCCCCGAGGGTGGGAAACTGAACTTAGGAAGCCAAGATGCCGACAGTACTCAAGTACCTACGTACACGCCTGTAGTCACCACCCATCACCTGCTGCAGCAAAAGCTTCCTGCTATCTGCTATGCGAAGCGGCGCACTGGAGGGAGAAACAGGGAGTCCCACAAAAGGATGACAAATATCTTTGAAGGCAAGTCGGGTGAGAGGCCGCCCCACCACCCCATTCCCAGGCTGGGCCCACAGTAGGAGCCAGAAGTTGCTGAATATCAGAGCTGAACGTGGCCTTTAATACATCCACAGCGTCTACACGAGGAAGCCAAGGTCCAGAGATGGGGACAACCAAAGTCACAGGGTGCTGGCTGTAGAAAGCATCCAGGATTTCTAATCCTGAGTTAGGCCAAGGTGCACCAGAACTCACTCAAAAGGGAAAAATGGAAGATCTACAACAAATGTAAACACTGGGGAACACCCTCCCTCCCACCACCTGTGTCGGCTGTCTTTGACCGGGAGTCCCTGAGCTCCCTAGAAGACAGCATGTACATGTCGTCATCTACATGACAACAGCCACCGGCCGGTCTGCGTCTTTGTTGTGTTCCCATAGGTTCTAAGGAGTCCCCAGTCCACCGGTCTGCTAAATGTTCTGTGAGCCATTGCCCAGACCACCCAGCTCTACAAGCTGACCACTAACCTAGAACAAGGGCCTCGACACTTTTGTGCCTCAATTTCCTCATCTGAAAAAAATGCAGTCAATAAATAGTCCTGTGTCTTCTGTTTAAAGCACGTGCTGGGGCTAAAACAAGAAGGTAGAATCAGGCAGCCTCGCAAGTCCATCTGGTCCTGAGGGCTTGTGATTGACAGCTCTTTCCTGAATTCACAGACCCCCTGTGTGGGTGACAGCAGAAGAGAGGAAGGGAGAGGGTGGTGATCCTCCCCCTGGGAATTCACGGCCCAGGAGCACCTGCTCTGCAGGAAACCACATCCTGCACCATTCAGCTCTATCAGAGACGTTGCCCTGTAATATGCAGATGAATGGATCAGAGGAGTCTGAGGACTTTCAAGATGTGAACAGAAGAGATAGTTATTTGATGGCAATGGGAGGAAAAGAAACTGTCTTGCACGTACCTGAGACACTTGTGCTGATCCCGTCTAATTATGCCCTGGCTCCCAGTAATGACGGCTCCAGAGGTCTAAAATCTTAAATCTCAGACGTCATTAAATCACATTAACTCCAATCTCGCTGGAGGGCTGGGGATGATCACAGAAACAACTTAGTCACCGTATCTTAAGATTTCGGGTGAGACAATTTTTCCAAAGCTTTCTATTCTACAACCCGGGATACTGGGTCATCAAGATTGATTTTTGAGGACTCAGACCCCCAAATACTCCCACTCCATACGTGGGAAAAGACAGGTCACCTGAGGTCAATCAGCCGCTGGGTGGGCCACTGCCACATGCAGAAGACAGGACACTGGGTCTTCCTGTGGGTGTATGACAACCTGACCGATGAAAAAGTGCCCACACATGTGTATCCACACGCTACAAAGTTACATAGATACCCAGGCCAATCATTCATGATCACATTTACAGTACCACAGAATGTCAGAGCTGGATGGACCTGACTGAAAGTCTTCACTTTCCTATTTTAAACATGATGAAACTGAGGCCAGAGAGGACCAGAGACTTGCCTGAGGTTTCACGACTTGTCACAGACAGAGCCAGGTATCCTAAGCATCTGTCATTACATTGTATACACATCACAGAAAAGTTAAGCAGAAAAGTTCAAGTCAAAGACCAAGTATTGGAGGGACAGAGCAAAGGGCATAGAACAAGGAGAACCAGGGGAATCAAGGAAGGCTTCATGGAGGAGGTGAGTTGTGAACTGATTCAGATTGCACTAATATTCATAAGTAGCTTGATGGCCCTAAGTCTTGGAGTATACATTCTCTAACTTATTCCTCACAAGAAATCTGTGAAATAGTATTTTCCCTTCTCAACAAGAGGAAATTGAGATAATGAGAGGTCAAATCACTTATCCATTACTGTACATACTCTATGTGACAGATAGTCAACCCCAGGTGAATGGGATCCTGCGTTCTTTCTCCATGTATCTCAATGGCTCTTTTGTTTTTTGTTGTCTCTGTGTGTGTGTGTGTGCGCGCGCGTGTGTGTGTGCGCATGTGTGCATGCATGTGTGTGTGTGTGTGTGTGTGTGTGATGGAGTTTTGCTTTTTGCCCAGGCTGGAGTGCAATGGCACGATCTCGGCTCACTGCAACCTCTGCTTCCTGGGTTCAAGTGATTCTCCTGCCTCAGCCTTACTAGCTGGGATTATAGGTATGTGCCACCACGCCCATCATTTTATATTTTTAGTAGAGACGGGTTTTCACCATGTTGGCCAGGCTGGTCTCAAAGTCCTGACCTCAGGTGATCCACCCGCCTCAGCCTCCCGAAGTGCTGGGATGACAGGTGTGAGCCACCACACCCAGCCTCAGTGTCTCTTTTATCAAAAGCCAGCCTTTGATTGAGGGTGCCGACGTGACAAGTAGAAACATATTTAAATGAGGGAATGGTAAATGCAATTTTATTCTTCATCTGAGGCTTCCCTTTTCAAGAGCTCCCAAGAGCTCCCAGCATTGGGAAGGTTATTAGGTTTCTACTGCTTCTGTAACAAGTTACCACAAATTTAGTGGCTTAAACCAACAAAAGTGAATCCTATGACAGTTCCGGAGCTCAGAAGGCTAACACAAACCTCAGCAGACTGAAATCAGAGTGCCCGGCTGTGCCTCTTTCCAGTGATCCTAGTGGAGAATCTTTTTCCAGACTGTAGAGGTCGCCCTCATTTCTGGCTTGTGGATGTCTTCTGTATTCAAAATCAGCAGTGGCCAGTTCAGTCCTTCTCAAATCACATCGCCCTGACACTGACTCTTCTTCCTTTTAAGAGCCTTGTGCTTATGTTGGCCCCACCTGGATAATCAAGGATAATCTCGATATTATAAAGTCATCTGATTAGCAACTTCGATTTTATTCACTACCTTAAATCTCTCTTACCAAATAACCTAACGTGTTCACAAGTTCTAGCGATTAGGTGGCGAACATATTTGGGAAGCCATTATTCTGCCTACCACAGAAGGACTTTTGGGTCAATTTCAAGATCGTTCCACCATCATGAATTAACTCAATGGCAGGCAGGGCATCCAGTGAGAGGAGTCAGACTCCAGGCTCTACCTCACCGGGCTCACCTCCCCTCCATGAGAACAGGATCTAGTCACTCCATTGTTCTGTACATTTCTATTTCATCTCCTTGTCCTTGGGCTTAACCAAAGTCAAAGACAAGCATATGACATGAGCAGGTCATTTCATGCATCCTATCACAGGAAACTTCCAGAAATCCCAGCTAAGAAGGTCTCTTCCCCGCGTTTCTCGCTCACCCCTTTCCTAAGTCGGCCTCTACCTCTCCTTTCAACTCACCTGTATCCTGTACTTCAACAGTCTCCTAACAGGATTCCTTCCTGGAGACCACCTGGAACGTCCTTGTCCACCCTCCTTGCCTGGGTAATTCCTACTGTCCAGTAAGACAAAGCACAGACATCCCCTCCCCCAGGAACCCTCCATGGCCTTCCACCCAAAACCAAAAAAGGGACCTTCTTCTGGAGCATAGGGGCTTACCTCTGGCCATATGCTCCATGAGACTGTGAGTCACTTTGGAAGGGAAAGGCCTTGACATCACACAGGGGCCACGAGTGACTGAAAGCAGAAATTACTAAACTCAGTGATGGAGAATTCCTTGTTTTCTAGGACACAGGAGAGTTGCTTTATCTCTTCAACAGCATTCTGAGAAAAGATGAAAAACACAAGGAGGGGGAGAATTGAATGGAAGAGACGAAAAAAGAGGAGGAATAAAGGATGAGTCTCCCCATCCTACACCTACTCGCCCAGTTCCCAGCTGCCCCAAGTGACTTTGTCTCTTCAGATATACAGCGGGGTGTCCCAAGTCCTTCCACACCCAGGCCTCTCTCTCCTGCCAGGATACCAATGGGGCTCATGGTGATGTCACATTCACCTCTGAGAACCAGTCTCAAAAGCCAAAAATGCCTGTGGTCTTTCTAGCTTACCTTTAAAAATTTTTCAGGTATCAAGCATCCAAAATCTAGATAAACATTTGAAGGCATTTCAGATTTTAGTCAAATATTTTTCTTAAGAAATGACTTAAACCTACTCCTGCAAGTTAAGAGATTAAACGTAACTTCAAATTAAGGGGAAAGGAGCATCATCATAATTAAAGTCCCTTGAATTTGGTCAACTTCAGCAAGCAAACACGGAAACACCACTCTGTGGAACTGAGGGCTTCTTTCGAAATAAATCTTTTCCCGTTTTCAATTAAATGAGATTTTCCTCTACTCCCAGCTCTCCCACATCCACCCTCGTCATTCCCTCATTAATACATTCGTTCCTTCAATAATCATGTATCTTTCATCATCTTCTGCTTACTGCACCAGTGGCCTAGTACCTATCCTCTAGGAACCTGTAACCCAGGAAAAAACAAGATCTACGTATAAATACCTGGAGAGTCCTAATGTCAACAGTAAATGTCATATGAATACAAACAATAGATACCCTGGGAATCATAAAGAGGCGGACTCCTTTCTGGTTTAGAATCAGGAAAGGCTCTCAGAGGGTGGTAGGCACGAGTGAAGCTTTGAAGAAGGCTTAGGATTTCCACAGGCACAGGGAGAACGTAGCAGGTAAAAAAAATAACAGCCCAAACTAAGAGGTAGAGAAAACTGGGTGTGTTTGCTTTGAAACTTTTCCTTTCATCCCCCGGCTTTAATAGACCTGAGTCCTAAGAAAACATTTTCCAGAAGACAAAGAGACAGGCTAGCTTTGCTCCAGCCTGTTCTCCTGGTCACTGTGGAAACTGTGAGTAAGCCCACTTTCAGAAGGGTGTCACAAATCAAGGTTGAGAAGATGAAGATTGCCTTCTCCTTCCTCTCTCTCCCCCTTCACCCCACTTCACAACCCAAGAGTAACAAATGAACCCCTCAAGACCACCGTGCGGGAAAATCATGCAATTTCCCTCAAGACCACCATGCGGGAAAATCACTCTCTTCAGCAGGCCAAAGGCCTTTTGTTTGCTTGCCATCTTCCTTGCATCTGAAGGGTGACTTTCTAGGCTTGATGAAGAAGTGTCTGCAACAGGCCGTGCAAATCCTCGACCCAGAGAGGCCCAAGGCCTTCGGCATAAAGTCGTCCCATTGGTGAAGATGAGATGAGCAAGGTGGATCTTATCTCTCACCATATCCTGAACCAGTCTGAGCCGACAAGGAATCCTGGTTTGACAGACTGAGATAACATTTTATGAACATTCTTTTCCTGCTGCCTCTGATGAGAGAGATCTGAGGGGCGCCCCTCCCTGCTGAGGTCTGGTGAGGACCCACAGGCCAAAATGCAGTCTGATTAAAAGGCATCCCAAGCAGTGACTCAAACCATCGGCGATTTCAAAGGAAGCTTGTTATGGTGACTCCACACTTAGTACCACAGACCACGTGGCCAGGCAGTCCCGCAGGAGGCTGGACCAAGCACCATATAAAAGTCCCACCTTGCTGGGCTGCACCGTCCATCGCCTTTGTTGAGTCTCGTTGAAGATCAGGTAAGTGGGGCATCTGTGCCTCTCTCCCTGCTCCTCTGTCTTTAAGAGGCCACTGTTCTGTTCCTCCTCTGAACTGTACTTTCTACTGATTTTTTCAGTGGTTTGCCATTTCTTTGCCTCAGAAACTATCCTGTATATTCCATCCAGACGAGCATTTGTCTATCTAGTCTCTTGCACCTGATTTTCAAAAGGATTCATAGACTGGAAGAGAAGGAAAAACAGCCGTGGTAGGCCTGGGGTTTGGAGCTATGGATGTCTAGACAGAGGCCATGCGAATGGAGACAGGGAGCTGCGGCCAGGATAGAAAAGAGAAAGAGACAAGAAGCAGCCAAGAAATTAGTTCTTACTTCCACTCCTCATTCCAGTCCATTCATTTTCCATCCGCTCCTTATTCCCCAGCTCCCATGCTGATATTTTTAATGCAGATTATTTCGAATCTTGTGCTTTTTCCAGGCTCTTCAAATCGCCCTAGGATGTCCTTCAGTGAGCAGCAGTGCAAGCAGCCATGTGTGCCCCCTCCATGCCTCCAGAAGACCCAGGAGCAGTGCCAGGCAAAGGCTGAGGACGTGTGCCTCCCCACATGCCAGGACCCCTGCCAGGACAAGTGTCCGGTGCAGGCCCAGGACGTATGTCTTCCTCAGTGCCAGGAATTAAGTCAGGGAAAATGCCCAGAGCAAGGCCAAGGTCCATGCCTACCCCCGTGCCAAGGTCAACATCCACCTCAGTGTGTAGAGCCGCACCAGGAGCTATTCCAGACAACATGTGTGGAAGCTTGCCCTCAGAAAGCCCAGGAGGAGTGCTCACCCCCTGGCAAGGGAAAGTAGCTGCTCATATGTCATCTGGGGTCAGGAAGACGGCCAGCCGACGAAACCCTGACCCCAGCCCATGCTCCGGTGACCTTCTTCTGTGGGTACCTCTGTGTGCAATGTACCTTCTTGCCTCCTGGCTTCCTTAGCATTCCAGGACTTGGTCTGCGTCTCTATTTCATCATCCTCTGTGAATCAGCATTGTTCTCAGCAGTCTGATGGAAGGTCTCAAAGGTAGGAATGGCGTGGTCATCTGGGAAGACCACAGAAGCCTAGCACAGCCTCGCTGGGGCAAAGCTTCACCCTGGGTGTGTAACAGCCAAGGATGCCTTCATTTATCTTTAGAGTGTCAAGCTCTCCTATGAGCCTCAAAACAAACTGAATTCAGACGGACCTTCCACTTACCACCACCACACAGGTGTGGAGACAAAGAGGCTTGCCGTGTTTCAAAAATCAAAAACTGGGTGATTTTTGTCTCTGCACATTGAAAAGAAGGGCAGATTGTTGAACATTGAAATGCTGATTGTGCTTTTTTAAAATGAACCCAAATTATGTAAATGATTGAATCCAAACAACCAGAAGAAAGAGGTGGATGTTTGGTGCCCTTGTCAAGCTCTATGCTTCACAGCTGGTCTCATGTGGGCCCTTAGTTCTCCCTGTGTACACTCTCTAGAGATGTGATTGTGTCTGTGTGATGCAGGCTGGTCTGTTCTCCAGCTTCCTTACCTTCTTCTCTTTGGTGAAGGTAAAATGCATAATAAAGCTGATCCTAAGGCTGATATCTGACTTGACGTGTGCTCTCTTTTCTCCACCACCAACCCCCCACTGTCCTTGTGACAACCGTCTCCTCCTTTGGTGGGGGAGGGGAGTAATCTGAAACAGGATAAAATACAGACCTCACAGGTGCCTTGAGCCGCAATGCGGGAAGAGGCCCCCTGAAGGTCACCGAGACCACCCCCGACACACAACATATCCTAGGTTCACCCACTCGTGCACTTCACACAGGAGAAAATCCAGCAAGGGGCTGGGACCTGCCCACATTCCAAACCCCAAACCCCAGGTCCAGTTTCCTTCTACTACTGCATCTTTCCTCCCTGGTCCTTGCTTTCCAAAGGAAAGGGCTGCAATGGAAAGGAGGGGAGATCTGTGGAAGAGGGATCCCAAATCAATTCACGACACCTACAAACATAGCATCCGTGTTGAAGGAAAGAGCGAAGCATGCCTCTGAGATGAACGCAGACTCAAGGACCAAAACTGCCTGCCCTGCCATCTGGCCAGGTTTCAGGAGGGCCTGGGTCCCGGGTAACAGGCCTGCACCCTGCTGCCCACCCCACCCATGGAGGAAACACAGGCAGTAGCCACTGGGGTCTGTGAATGGGTCGAGAGGGCACTGGACTGACATACAATAGCCACAGGCCACTACCTCGGCAGAGCCCTGAGGTCCGACCTGAGCCCAAAGGAAGCTACGCCAAGGACCAGCTTCCTGGGGGAAATGGGGCTTCTGCTGGTCCCCCTCCCTCCTCAGTCCCCTTGAGGAGGAGGTGGAGGGCCAGGACAGCCCCTCCCTGTAGGGCACGTGGAGCTCTATGTCTCAGTTGTTTGGCTGAACTGAGAGTCACTGAGTCTGTGGGTGATATGGACCAGGTCCTGAACTCCATGCAGATTCTCTATAGGGATTCTGACAGCAGCCTCGGGGACTTCCCCTGCTGCCCATTTGCTTACAATTTGTCATAAAGCCAGTGAGGTGAAGTCAGGACACTAACCCAAGTCGCTCTGGTTCCAGAATGGAGCTCTTACTTTTGTAATGAAAGTGCTGTGCCATACAGAAGTGATTTCCAGAAACTGTCTTCTCATTCATTCATTTATCCACCTAAAACGTGCTCCCTGATCACCTACCAAGTGTCAGGTACCTTGCCAGCTGCTGGAGAGACAGTGGTGAACCAGGCAGTCAGTATCCCTGTGCAGAGTTATGAGTTGTCTCTTCTGCAGGCCACATGCACCAAGGGAGCCTTTCTGAAAAATCTCCTGGATGTCTCCAGTCCCCGAACATCCCCAGATGCCTGAATCACCGTTCTCTTGCCTCCATGCCTACTTGAAATCAGTTTTCTCATCCATTTTCCAAACTTGGATTAAACCAGCTGTTCTCCAGGGCCAGCAGCTCCCAGAGCTCCATCCTGCCGAGATGCGTCAAAGACGCCTTCAGTGAAGCTTCTGCTCACAACACTTCTCCAGTTTGGCTCAAGCCCAAGAAACATCTTTATTCTCCAGCATCCAAGGCGTGCACAGATTGGAGTCCAAGATGAGACACCCAGGCATTAAAAGGAAGCACGGGACTAATGAACAGGGAGAGTCCAGACTTATCAGAGAAAGGAGAAAACTGCTGATTACGGGGGAGGCCTCTACAGATGGGAAGGGGACAAGCCTGCAGATCGCAGACAGGTAAGCAGACGCCAAGCAGCCAGCAGGCCTTCATCAAGCTCTGTCATGGAACCTCCACATCTCCTCGTGCTCACAGAGGTCTGCCCCAGCCCGTGCCTGGGCCACTGCTGCTGCGGCCTGGGCTCTAAACACGCAGACCAGGGCCACAGCCACCGAGGCCACAGGGACAGCTAGGACACACCATTCAGACTTCCCCAGCTGCCACTTCTGTGCTGAGCCTTTCAGAAAGTGGGGAGGGGCCTTACCAACGACAGTCCCAGATGTTAGAGGTTCCAGTTAACAGTTAACTCAACATGCGGCAGCAGCGGGTCTCTGGGCTCCACACGCCGGGAGGATAAAATACAAACTGACAGGAATTCACAGGAGGAGCTGTGGATTCACTCAGTCATTCAAGATATTTACGGAGAAACCACTATTCCAAGCCAGGCTCTGGAAAGCTGCAATGGCGCCTGCAGGCGGGCAAGCAGAGCAGAGGCCTGGACAATTCACATCAGGAAGTGTTGAAAAACATTTAGTATACAAAGAACTCCCCTATTATAACATCAGAATGGAACTGATATGGTCTGGCTGTGTGTCCCCACCCAAATCTCATCTTGAATTGTAATCCCCATGTGTTGGGGGAGGGTCCTCGTGATGAGACAGCCAGGTGAAAGGGGGTGCCTGGAAAAGCTCCAACTGGTTTCCCCAGCCCCAGCCTCAGGAATTTCACTCCATTTGGAGTGGGGAGGAGCCTGGCCCCTCCTCTTCCTGTGTGGAACCTGGGATTCCAGCTGCGGGCCTGAGGCGCTCTAGCAGGGACTGTAGACAGGCTACAGGAAGACAATAGAACCCTGTTTGACTCACCATTTCAAATTGTCTGTGAGCCTGAATTTTCATGGTGGTGGGACAAAGAACCCTGTCTTTAGCTGAACTAAGGAGAAGTCCTGCAACAGCGGGAGGGGATTGGCTCATGCGGTGGTTCCCCGTGCTGCTCTTGTGATAGTGAGTGAATTCTCATGAGATGTTATGGTTTTATAAGGGGCTCTTCCCAGCTCTCTTGGCAATTCTCCTTGCTGCCATCTTGTGAATAAGGTCCTCGCTTTCCCCTTGCCTTCTGCCACGAATGTAAGTTTCCTGAGGCCTCTCCACCCATGCTGAACTGTGAGTTAATTAAACCTCTTTCCTTTATAAAAAAAAAAAAAAAAAGAAAGAAAACACCCGAGGGAGTGGGGCAGCTGAACCCAAATGTCTTAAGTGCTTTCATGAGGGAGGAGGAAGATTTCTGTGAAGTGCCAAACAACAGAGTTAGGACCCATGGGCAGAAATCATGAAATTGGGCTCAGTTTAAGAACTTTCTTATAATGAAATCTATTGGACGGCGACAGCAGCGTTGTGTCCCATGAACTGGAGGTCTGCAAGCCAGTGGGTGACAACCAGCTCCTCCCAACCTGTCAAATGCTGAGAGTCCTCTAACTCTAACTTGAGTGCGGAAACGGGACCCAGGGGCAGGAAGCATCCCACAAAGGGAGATTCAGAAGACCTGACCGCATGGTCAGGACACAGCAAGTTTCCTTGGCTTTCAGAACACTCCTGGGAGGCTCTTCGGGGGGCCCCAAACTTCTGGGGACCAGCAGAATGGGTGACCATGGGTTGAAACTAAAGGAAAGGAGGAAGACAGGTAAGTGATGGAAAGAGGCTCCCCCAGATTTGGGGTTTTCTTAATGTTTTCGGACCGATGAATGCCCTGAGCAGTACCCTGCAGTAATTCCTCTTTGCTTTCTAATCTGGTTCTTCCCAGCTGGGTTTAGTGTGCTCCCTCCCTTCTATGGCTCATTTCTTTACCATCCAGACATGCTTTCTCTTTTGTACCAAAGTAATCTGCCTGTTCTTCCACCCAACCCATCGCAGATTTCTTTCTGCCTGCGCTTACCTCTCTCCCATCTGGGGCTCTCTTCAGTTTGTCTCAGCCAAACCAGGGGCTTCAGCCTGACCTCCAGGAAGCCCTCCATGGTTCAGCCTAGTTCCTAAGTGCTGCAGCTTGGACTCTGCACTGCAGTGGCTCCACAGGTCTGCACCTGCGTGTGAATGACACATGTCTCCCGTCAGCATGAGAGCCCAGATGGCAGCTCCTGGGGCTTGGCTGTGTTCTTGCCTGACTTCACAGGGCCCGTCACACCAAGATCTGAGACACCCTCATGGTCAGCCACCAGCATGCCCCCGAACAAGGACAAAGGGGAGTACTGGCCTCCGGGCCACCAGGAAGGCGTCTTTTATTGATAGGGTAACCAACTCATCTTGGTTTGCCTGGAACTGTCCCAATTTTAGCACTGGAAGTTCTGAATCCTGGGAATTCCCTCAGTCCCCAACAAACTGGGGTGGTGAGTTGCCCTAGCTGAGTACCTGTGTGTATAAGACATGATGCTTGGTTCTGGGTTGGGGAGCACAGAGGGAAAGCAGACGAGGCCTTCCATTCTGGAGTAATTTATAGCCCAAGGGATTTTTCTAAAAAACTGTAAACCCAAAAAGCCTAGTTCCTGCCTGGCCCCTCCATAGCCACATTCTCCATGAGCAGAAGTGGGGACAACCGGGGCTGATAGGGATGGTCAAATCCTAGATCAACAAGTGGGTTCCCAGCCTAGGCTAGTTTAAGCATGAATTGGCAGGTCTTGACCAGAAGAAGTGGTATCGTGGGAGATATCCCACTCATTCCTGCTCCTGTTCATAACGCCGTAGACAGCAGATCTGAACTTGTCCACTCCTGCCCCTTCTTCTCTCCCACGGACACCTGTCTCACATCCGAAAATGGCTGAAAGAAAAGAGGTGGCCACCCTGCAGGGCCTTCTCACCTCAGCCTCCCTCATCACCGGGTTCCCCAGCCAGACTCCTAACCAGTCCTCCCTCCTTAGAAGCCACTGGGGACCCCTTTTCTCTTCCCAACAGCACCACCTGCTGGTCATAGAGGCACTTGGGCTTCTGCTAATCACACCAGTCTGGCCTGAGTTGGAAAGGGCGGCACACGAGCAGGAGCAAGAGTACAGAGACGCAGCATCTAACAGAGTCAGAGGAAGGCTATCTGTGCAAGACAGAGTTACACACTTCAGTGTCTGCCTGCAGATTGGTTACTCAACTGTTGCATCAGAACCTCATTCTACCATCAGTTGGCACAAGCAAGTCCTGGCTTTGGCTGTGGAGACCAATCACACCTTCCTACTTGCTGAAAAGGTCAAAGCCTTCTTGGCTGATCCATCTGCCTTTGTGGCTGCTGCCTCTGGGGCCACTGCCATGGCTGCTGTTCCTGCTGCAGCTCCCGTCAAGGCTGAAGCCAAGGAAGAGTCGGAGGATGAGAATATGGGATTTGGCCTCTTTGACTAATCACCAAAAGGCAGCCAACTCATCCAGCTTTATTTGCAAAACAAATAAATAAGTCTTATTTCTTTTTTTTAAAAAAAAAAGGTTCATTCTAGTGTTACTCATAAAATCCAGGTGTCAGAAAGAATACAAATACCCATCAATGAATAAATAAACAATAGTCTATTCACACAATGGAATTCCATACAGCAATGTGTACAAATGATCTACAGCTACACATAGCAATATGGATGAATCTCACAACATAAAGTAAGTGGGCAAACAAAAAGACACGTGAAAAAGCATTAGGGTGAACCATGTGAAATTGCCATTTATTGAGGTTGAAAACTGTTCTCAGGGTTTGGCATAAAACACGCTGTAACTTTGGGAGGCCGAGGTGGGTGGATCACGAGGTCAAGAGATCGAGACCATCCTGGTCAACATGGTGAAACCCCGTCTTTACTTAAAGTACAAAAAATTAGCTGTGCATGGTGGCACGTGCCTATAATCCCAGCTACTCAGGAGGCTGAGGCAGGAGAATTGCCTGAATCCAGGAGGCGGAGGTTGCGGTGAGCCGAGATCGCGCCATTGCACTCCAGCCTGAGTAACAAGAGCGAAACTCCATCTCAAAAAAAAAAAAAAAACACGCTGTATGGCTCCATTTCTATCATTTATGTACAGTACAAAAGCTGGCCAAATAAACCTCTGTTGTAGACAGCGAGACCGTGGTTGTGTGTGTGTTGGGTGTAGTAGCGTGGTCACTGGAAGGGAGAAGAAGGAAGGCTTCTGTGTTGCTGGTAACATTCTATTTTTTTATCTGGGGGCCACTTACCTGGTTGTGTTTAGCTTGTAAAAATTCACTGAGCTGGGCATTTATAATATGTGTACTTTTCTGAATGCATATTTTAATAAAGAGTTGAAAGTTGTGTTGGGGTTCATCATATAATACATATATATTACTTAGAAGCAACAGCTATATACTGTCATTCTAACATCATGTCAGTTAAAAAAAAAAAACACCAAATACAGATGATTTTAAAAGATAAAATGAAAATATATACAGAAAAAAGTTTTTTCTTTCTGGTCCCAGTGAATAGTTTTATGCACCCTCAGTGAACTTTTTATAAAGAAGTCGTTGGTTACTTAATGGCTACATGGTCTTTGGCAAATCTCCCAGCCTCAGCTTCTGCGTCTGTAAAATTCCACTGATGACCACCCACTCGTCCTAGATGGCTGTCCTGAGGATCAAATGAGGTATTTCTGAAAGTATTTAGTAATTGGTAAAATGTGAAGGGTTACTATGATTATTACTATTAGCAGAGAGTTACTATTAACATAGATTTACAAGCTAGTGAAGCCAATTCTATAGTAAATAGTTTGAATTTCATTAAAAGTAGCTAGAGATTTTAAGAAGAGTGTTCCGGCCGGACGCGGTGGCTCATGCCTATAATCCCAGCCTTTGGGAGGCCGAGGTGGGTGGATCACGAGGTCAAGGGATCGAGACCATCCTGGTCAACATGGTGAAACCCCAACTCTACTAAAAATACAAAAATTAGCTGAGCATGGTGGTGTACGCCTGTAATCCCAGCTACTTGGGAGGCTGAGGCAGGAGAATTGCCTGAACCCAGAAGGCAGAGGTTGCGGTGAGCCGAGATCGCACCATTGCACTCCAGCCTGGGTAACAAAAGCAAAACTCTGTCTCAAAAACACACAAAAAAGAAGAAGAGTGTTCCCCATCACTAGAATGGCGAAACTATCTGCCAAAGATATTGCAGAGTGATTCCTGCACCAGGCAGAGTGGAAATAATAATATTAAAAATGATCATCCTGGTGAATCCTATGTGGCAGATACTTTCTAAGCACTTTATGTATATTAGCTGCTGTTATAACCGTTACAACAAGCAAAAGAAGGTGGTCATAATATTATCAATATTTTATAGACAAGGAACTAAGGCTCAAAGAAATTAAATAACCTACACAAGATCTCAGCAAATACAGTTGAGATGGCCACGTGTAGATGGTCTCCACATTACCCCCCAAAGCTGATGCTAGCATTCAAAATCTATTCTCATTCAGCAAAGTTTAGTCTAATATCAAGGCCAATTTCCTTGCATTAACCTATTATTCCGCAAGTTTTTCTGAGCCCCTATTATATGCCATGCTCTATATCGGGTATTGGATATGCAGTGGTAAACGAGCAAACACAGTCCCTACACTCAGAGCATATGATGGAGTAAAAGAGGCAAGCAGGTGCCGGGCGCTGTGGCTCAAGCCTGTAATCCCAGCACTTTGGGAGGCCGAGGCGGGTGGATCACAAGGTCAAGAGATAAGATTATCCTGGTCAACATGGTGAAACTCCATCTCTACTAAAAATACAAAAAATTAGTTGGGCATGGTGGCGCGTGCCTGTAATCCCAGCTACTCAGGAGGCTGAGGCAGGAGAATTGCCTGAACCCAGGAGGCGGAGGTTGCGGTGAGCCGAGATCGCGCCATTGCACTCCAGCCTGGGTAACAAGAGCGAAACTCTGTCTCAAAAAAAAAAAAAAAAAAGAAGCAAGCAGTATAAGAAACATACACAAAAATAAATATATAATCCCAAATATTGTTACATTCAACAAAAGAAAGTTCTAAGTTATATAAAACAATGAATTGGAGAACCTAATTTAGCCTAGAGATCAGAAAAAGCTTCCATGAGAAAATAACATTTAATCTGAAACTGAAGAGATGGCAGGAGTTGTCCAGGTGACAAGAAGAAAAAAATTATAGAGAAAACAAAATGTTTGATGGTTCTGATGTGGGAAAAGCCTGATTTTTGTCTCAGACACAAAGATAAGGAGTGAGAGGGACTGTGTCCCCAGACAGGGACATGAGGTGTGTGGACAGGAGCAGACCCCGCAAGCCCGAGACCACGTGACAGATTGTGACTTTCATCCTAAGAGTAATATTAAGCATTAAAGATTTTTAAGCAGGAGAGTGACAAGACTCAGTCTGCAAATTGTAAACATTGCTCTAGTTAAAGTGTGGAGAATGGATTAGAGGAAGCGAGCAAGAAGCGAAGCAGAAGCCACTGGGGACACCATGGCTACAGCCAAGTATCTAGAATGATCTCTGTGCAGCAGCAGCCATGTCCAGAAGCAGCTGGGAAAGACTGAAGGAGGAACAGGTTTAGGTGCAGTCTGGATAAGAAGACCCGGGGCCCAGTTTTGAACCTGTCCATTTTGAGATGCATCTAGAACAACCAAGCGGAAATACGAAGTAAGCACTTACGTCTATGAGTCAGCAGCTCAGGAAAAAGTCAGGAATGGAGACCTACACTTGGAAGCCATCATCATAGGGAGCGCATGCTAGCTTTGGGGTGGATAGATCATCCAATGACAGAATATAGATTTCCAAAAGAAAGGGACTTTAGATCATGCCCTGAGAAACTTCAACAGCTAAAGTTTGAGTAGAGGGAGAGACCTCGGCAAAAGATTAACAAGAAGCAGTCAGTGATTGAAGAGAAAAGTCAGGAAGGAGAGAGTGCAAAATGCTGAATGCCACTGGGGATCAGGAAGCGCCCACCCTGAGTGACAACATGTAGAGCAGGCATGGGGGTGGGAGGGTCCAGCCACGCCAGTCACCCCAGGATTGCTCAAACACCAGAATCTCCTCCAATCCACTTCTCATCTTCTAAGGCACAGCAGTTTGCCATCAGATCCTGGTACATGGGAATAAGTGAGTGAATGAATGATAAATGATCAGAGGACCCAAACGTTTTAACAGCTTGACCAAGATTATCCGGCCGGTAAGTACCAACGCCAGAGCTTAAATCCAGCTCATCTGATTCCGACGTCCATATTCTTGGTTTAAAATTATAAGCTTAAACCCAGGGGAAATACCTCTGATGACACACTCTCGGTCA